GAATAAGCCTAGTTTTATTAATCGACTAGTTGACTACTTGTTCACATCCCTATGACCTATAGCAACATAAGAGGGATTGAAATGTAATCAAGACAATCAACTCGTATATGAATTTCAAAGAGATATACTATAACTATACCATCAGTCATAAACCCATTTATTTGTAGTAATGGAAATCAAGAGTAGATGCTAAGTGTATTTGGCTGAGCTTATCTGTATCTGATTAGAATTTTAACAGTGTATCTCCAAATTAGTTTGTATATGCTAATCCCCTTTCATGTCTTAATTGCATTATATTCTGCATGCAGATGGTTCGGTTAATCTTAATAGCAAAGATGTAAGATAATACAGGAAACTAGGGATGCGAAATGTTAACCAGTATTTATCACCCTTAATGGGTGAGGCTTACTGGTTCTGGTTAACCGGTGGGGACTAGTTTAAGCCATAAAACTGAGGATTCCAGCATAGGTGTTGGGTGAGGTTGCACGAGGGGCCACATGCACCCCCCCAAGGTGTACACACACTGAGGATGTTAATGACTAGTTGACATGTGGGCGCTTCTGCTTTGACATGCACAAGAGCCCCCTCTCGGGACTCTTGTACATTTCAAAGCTGGCACGCCCGTGCAGCCCAGGGCCAGCGGGAAGTCCCGCTGACTCTGAGCTACACGAGGGCACTTCCACTTTGAAATGCACAAGAGTCCCCAGGCATTTGTGCATTTCAAAGTGGAAGTGCCCTCGTGTAGCTCAGAGTCAGCGGGACTTCCCGCTGGCCCTGGGCTGCATGCGGAATTCCAATTTTGAAATGCACACGAGCCCCAGTGGGGGCTCTTCCACATTTCAAAGGAGAAATGCAGATGTGCCTATTGACTAGTCGAGTAGTCAATGGAAATTCCACCGACTACTTGATTAGTAAGTGAATCGTTATTTAAAATCCTTAACACACACCCCAAGGCCTGAGGTAGGCTGTGCCTACTCCTCCCACACTCACCAGCAGCATCAGCGGGGAAAGTGCAAACCAGGCAGCTCCAGCCCATGCAGTGCCACTCCCTGGGCACATCGCTTCAGGGGTGGGGTGGAACAGCCCCAGCACTCCCTGGAAGTGGAAGTGGAGCCTGTTCTGGAGAATGCCAGGGTAGTCCTTCCCTTCCCCGGAATGGCATGGCTGGGGAGCCGTGCCATGCGAGCTGGAGCCACCCAGCCTACACTTTCCTCGCTGCCACCAATATGTGCGGGGGGATGCAGTGCAAAGGGATGGAGTAAGGGTAGGGTGGAACGGAGACAGAGCAAGGGCCAGGGGAGGTGGGACCTGGAGCAGAAAGGGGTTGATTTCCAGGTTTACCTTAGAATTCTTGACTGCCTGCCTTTTTGATTATATAACCTTTTAAGTGATTCCAGAAAGATTATCATAGCAGAAAAGGTGAGGCTGTTTATATGTAACTAAGAGAGTATCTACACTGCCAGGCTTAACTCTAAATAAGCTACGCAAATTGAGCTACGTCAATTGCGTATCTTATTTCTAAATAGCTTATTTTGAAATAAGCTTCCTCAACCATGGGATGCTATTCCAGGAACGACTGCTAGGCAGAGATGGCGTTCACCTTTGAAGCAGGGGGAAGATCCTGTTTGGCCACAGATTGGCTAACCTAGGGTGATGTCATGCTAGGAGTCTAGTACAGGCCACCTACCCAGGTGGAAGAGGTGGATGAGGCTTTTTTTAAACAACTAACAAAATCATCCAAAGCCCAAGATTTGGTGGTGATGGGGGACTTCAACTATCCAGATATATGCTGGGAAAATAACACAGTGGGGCACAGACTATCCAATAAGTTCTTGGACTGCATTGGAGACAACTTTTTATTTCAGAAGGTTGAAAAAGCTACCGGGGGGAAGCTGTTCTAGATTTGATTTTAACAAATAGGGAGGAACTGGTTGAGAATTTGAAAGTGGAAGGCAGCATGGGTGAAAGTGATCATGAAATCATAGAGTTCACAATTCTAAGGAAGGGTAGAAGGGAGAACAACAAAATAGAAAGAATGGATTTCAGGAAGGCGGATTTTGGTAAGCTCAGAGAGCTGGTAGGTAAGGTCCCATGGGAATCGAGACTGAGGGGAAAAACAAGTGAGGAGAGTTGGCAGTTTTTCAAAGGGACATTATTAAGGGCCCAAAAGCAAGATATTCCATTGCATAGGAAAGATAGAAAATATGGCAAAAGACCACCTTGGCTTAACCACAAGATCTTGCATGATCTAAAAATAAAAAGGAGTCCTATAAAAAATGGAAAGTAGGACAAATTACAAAGGATGAATACAGGCAAACAACACAGGAAGGCAGGGGCAAGATTAGAAAGGAAATGGCACAAAATGAGCTCAAACTAGCTACAGGAATAAAGGGAAACAAGAAGACTTTTCATAAATACATTAGAAGCAAGAGGACAGGGTAGGCCCACTGCTTAGTGAGGAGGGAGAAACAGGAAAC